CGGTCTTTGAAGGCCTAGCGGCAGCATTCATGGTGGTATTCGGAATCAGCATCGTCGACTACCTATAGTCCAGTCGGTTTCGTTGAAAAAGCGATTTATCAGTTGGGGATCATTCCTCGTGAGTTTTAGTACTTTTAATTATTTGTGTCCTACTGATTTATTCTGTTGTTTCTGAAGTTAAACAAGAAGATTTTTATTCGGCCTGACCCTTGGATAAAAGCTTTCAATGCAATCCCTACGGGATCAAAATGTGAAACACGATGGAATCGCTTTAATCGTACAGGCAGACTCTCTCTATTGATCACGATCCATGATAAAAACAAAGGAGCAGGGTGTCGATATGTCTATCGCGGTCTCTGACAGGATTCACAAGACCACACTGAAAGGCGGAAAACAAATGTTTTGGACTTCTAGATTTCAAATCCATCTATAATCCAAAAAATGCATTTATAATCCGAAATACCGAAGTCTAAGCATCTAGAATAGCATGCCGACATGTTTCTCATGGTTTGTGCTGCCAGCGGATGCTTTACTTTTCTCGCTATATGCTTCAACATTAGCAATCGTGTTTCACAAAAGTACGCTGAAGAGGAGAAAAAATACTATGAGCCTCACCTAGCTTCATGACGCTCCGCCGCCTTTGCTGTCAAATCTTTTCACCGATATTAATTCACGTAAATCAAAAGGTTATTCAATGTTAAAGTCTTTGTACGTATAACTTTTAGCAATAATAAAATTTAAAAACTTTAACGAATGCTGTTTGTTACTTTAGTCATATGAAAGAATTGATTTCTTCAAAAGAAATGCTGAAATTCGAAGCTTTATTGAGTGAAGATCAAAAGAAAGCGTCAAATGAATATGGTATGCAATACTGTGGCCAAACACTAGCATTTCTATGTTTTGTTTTTAAGGCGATAATCTGTTACAATATAATGTAATTGAACATAATATATTTTGTGGCAAAAAGGTTAAAACAGAAATTGAATTTAAAGAGTTTTACGAAACTTATCTCGGATTTCCTGCAGATAAAGTAAGTTTGATATAGATGCCATTGATCCCGAACTTCTATGCGGTGCTCTCCAGTTAGCAATTCAACATTAATGTTTCTCTGGCATTTGTTTAGGTTAAAGAAGTTAGCCAAATTCTGATTCGTAGTGGACGATTGAATGCTGAGATTAATGAAAAGTCAGGCACATTAATATATTCGGGTAAGCTATGTAACTCGCTTTCAACCACAGAATTTTATTACAGAATGCTTCACGAGTGTCTACGCAATCTTCAGTCATTTCATGGTGAATAAATAACCGTGAGAGTGTGAAAATGTTAGTAAGACGTGCGCGAAGAAAAGGTGATGTGCGGATACGATACAAGGGGAAAAGAGGCTGCGAGTTCCACAGAGTTGCGCAAGGTTTTACGAAGGGCCATGGGACGAACTGAGAGAAAAGACTAGTTTGAAAAGCGTAAGAATGACTTTATAATGTAATTCTTTATTTTAAGATTCGCTTTCACTGTTGGAAAAAGCTGACTATATTTATCAAAATATGTTTAAAGAGTCTCATTCAACATCGTCATCCTCATCCTCATCGGCATATTCAAATACATCTACATCTACCAGAAGTACAAGACAAAAGTTTCGTTCCAAACTACTCGCTCATTGTCATCAGAATGGCTCGAGACCAATGTTAAGATGTGAACTATCGAATAAAGAGTATCCGGCAGAACATGTTAGTGCTGGTCATATTTTCAAAAAATCATTTGGAGATTCATTATTGAACGACTTTTTCAATTTGAACGATATACATGAACCAAGTAATGGCATTCTTATGTATGCACTAATTGAATATCATTTTGACCACGGAAACTTGTGTCTGCTGAAAAATTCATGTGACAATCATTATAATATTCAAATTTTATCTGATAAACTGAAAAATAAATTAATTATCGACGAAGCAAAAAAAGTTCTTAAATCAAGTTATCACGCACCGTCTGAAACAACAATGACATTCAATGATTTAGAACAACAACATGTAGATCTTCCCGGGAGATCCAAAAGGTTAATTTGTTTTCATGCATCATTAGCAATTAAACGACATGAAACCAATCATGATCATTCAAGCATTAATATGATTGAGTTTTGGTCACCCGAGTCAATCGATCGAGTTCAACTTTATGAACAAAAAGTCAAAGCATGGTTTGAATTGAATGAGAAAGACGATGGTGGTCCAATTAAAGAAGTAAGTAAAATCATGCGAAGTGTGCTTTACTCTCAATACTGGGCAGGCACAGCCGTGTTAAGTCAGAGTTTTGCCTGATTTTTACAAGAAATTGTAGATTTTGCTGATTTATGTTTATGTTTAAATGTTCTTCATTTGAATCGTTGTTTGTTTCGATATATTGAGACCTATTGTGCTAGTTGAATTTTTAATTGCCAACGTTGAGATAAAGATATAAAATTAATTCTTTACGTTCTATGATTACTTTCACGTATAGGACTTATTTGGAAACGTTGATGAGGAACATAAACAAGTGGATTCATCAAATTCTCATTACGAAGACAATATGGATTCATAAACTAACTCTTTTTTTAAATTTAATTTCATGCACAGTCGCGGCTACGCATATTTTTTAAATCGCTAAAGTAAAGCTAGTCATTTTTATTTTTTTGAATATATGAAACGAATATTTTATGAGTATAAATTATTTAATCTATTGGTTATTTGATGCTTGTTTTATTTATACTCTATTTGTTATGACGATGTTCGTATTTTGTCGAATGATAAAAAAAATGTTTATTGTCATTACGAATGTAAATCGAGTAATTGAAAAATTATTAATTGTACTTGATTTCACTACACAATTGATTAACAATCAGAATTCCAACGTTTTAATGCTTCGTTTATCATCACCTAAAACAGGAGGTAAACTAATGTTCTATTGCCATAAATAAACGATATTCTATTCTATTTTATTTGTGTTTCAGATGAGAATCCACAAAAATCGGTTTGAATAATTTTACAAAATAGATGAAAAGCTCGATTTTATTATTGGCAAATTTCTGTCGACTGGAAGCGAACTGATCTCAAAGCAATTTAATATTGACGGTGATTCACCAAGATCTCCAATTTGATCTCGTAAACTCACCTTTTAATATCTCTGTTAATAATTTTCTACGTGTGTTTTATATATGACTCAGATGATATTTTCCATGTTCACAATTTTATAGTCTTTTTTCTGCTATATTGTTTTGTTTATGTTTCTAAACTTTTGATGAATAAAGAATATGCACAAGATTATATCTGTTAATTTGATTGAAATAATAGAGTAATTAGTTTTTCACTTTGACGAACAACACTGTATATTGAATGACCACAGTGTAACATCCTTATGCGCCTCTCTCACGGTTGTATGAATCCACTACTAGTATACTATCATTATAATTTCCTGAGGATGTGACTACTGTACAAGTTTCGCTTAGTTTCTATTTTTGAGAAGACACTTTGGACTATCTATCTATGAGGAAAGATCGACCTATTTCTATATTAGTTCACATAGATCCAAACTGGTTTTCCAAAGATCTGCTCAAAAACCGGTTTCAGAATTCTTTTAAAAAATCGTTTTTGGTTGTGAAAAACTAGCCTCAAGTGTCTGCTTTCGGTTGCTGGAAACCGCAACGTTCTATCTTACGCTGTTATTGAGTTATTAAAAAAATAGCAACCGGCACTGCATTTTGGCGCCGATAGTAGGTGTCAACACAAAAATCTCGTCAGAGTAGCCACAAATAAAGAACTACTTCAACATACACGTAACTTGTGCTCCGGCTCTGCCGTCGCTAAAAATACTATTCCTCGGGCTGAGTGTATAATTACCATCCTTTTAGTGATCTAATGTGTTCGTCTGTCTGTGAGAGGACAGAAAGGTGAGTATCAACTTTCACACTCTTTATTCCAGAGAAATGCTACTACAAAAGATTTTAATGTTATGGCTCAGACTTGTCGCCGTACTTCTGATAACTGCCATCAACCAGTCGCAAAGATAAACTTTAGACTGATTTATAGCCGTCTTTCGGAGTTTAAGTGTTTTCCTCCTACATTATTTATATGTTTTGAGCTGGATCTTTCTGTTTGGCCAATTTAATAATATAAAAGGTATCTAAGCTATTTTTCGAAATCTGCTGCTAGTTTATTGAAATGGTTAGGAAGGCAGAAAAGGTCATTTATTGCTATGAAAACTGCTTAAAATCAGCAACTACAAATTTAATTCAAGAATCTAAAAATGAAATCGGAACAAATTTTTTTTATTCCTTATCGATGTGTCAAAAAAGCGTTTTTCTAGAAGTCCTATTTCAGCTCATTTTAAAAATTTTCTGAGTTAGCCCAGAGAAGGAGCACCATTCAGAATCCTTATACATCAGGCTTTGTCAAAATCGGCTCCGCTGATACGAAGATAGTTTTCACATGCAATACGCCGATTGCCGAAAATTAATGTCGTATAGCATTATGGAATGGTATTTCATTGGTATAATGAAAAAATGGAGGATCTCATTTTTTAACTGAAAAGAATGAAATGACAAAACGCACGTTTTTTGCATCAACTAAAATCTAGAAAATAAAATCACAAAAATTAACACATAATATGATAATTTTTGATCACCAAACGAACCAACAGTGGGAAAAATATAGTCTACTTGATAATGCAACATTTCTAATTGCTATCTATTTTAATTCGTCTTAAATACTGATATATAAAAATACTGATTTGGTCTTCCTAGGAGATTTTAATGCACATTGTTACGAATGGTATCCTACGAAGGCTTCTACTCTCGAAGGTAAAAAGGTCTATGAGTTTGCTAACGACGTACAGCTTTTTCAAATTGTTGAAATACCCACTCGTCCGAAATCAGCTACTGGTTTAGATTTAATTTTTCTTGATAATTTGAATTTAGTTGAGAAAATAGAAATTTTCCCTGAATTATGTTGTACATGCGATCATAATGTAGTTAAATTCAGTATCAATATAGCTCAACTGTCTGTCACGCAACATAGTAGAAAGATCTATGATTATAAAAGAGCAAATTGGGATGTTTTTCGTGACAAATTAGCAGAATTGGATTGGAATGAGCTAGTTGAGGATGGAGGATTAGATAATAGTGTTCTGCTAGTTGAAGAAATGATCTTATGGATAGCTGACTTTACCATATAAAATTATTGTGGTTAAGTCTAATGATCGCCCTTGATTTAATGAGAATTTACAAGAGCTACTAAAGAAAAAACATGAGCTTTATAAAATCGATTGTAGATTTAAGACGACAAATTCGGCGGCTAATTCGGGAAGAGCTTCACATGATTTTGAGAAAGCGTGTAAAGCCGCAAAAAAAGAATATTATCGAAAGTTATCAGCTTAGATGAATTCGTCATCGAAACCCTGGTGGCATCAAGTTAAAAACACATTAAATAAAATCAACAATATTTTCATTCCACCTCTTTTTGACAGCTCTTCAAAAGAACTAATGATAGATCCGGGAAAAAAGGCTGAGCTTTTAAACAAACATTTCGCGATGGTTTGCTCAATGCCACTTAACGAGGTTAATGATGTGCCGTTAGTTGTTCCAACCATCTAGCTCCGATCATAACCTATTTATTTAATCAATCTCTAGAACAGGAACAGTTTCCTAAAACTTGGAAACTTACATCGGCTGTATTACATCGATTTTTAAGTCAGGCGATCCTCATGAAGTGAATAATTATCGTCCTATAACCTTACTGCTTGTTTTGTCAAAAATACTTGAGCGTTTGATTCATCGGAAAGTGTATGGATATTTAACAAATTACAACCTTCTAGTACGAATCAGTCAGGATTTAGACATGGTGATTCTACTATTAATCAATTGATCGCCATAGTTCATGAGATCTTATTAGCTTTTGATAATAGTGAACGAGTCTTAAGTGTTTTTCTAGATTTTCGTAAGGCATTTGACACCGTTTGGCATTAGGGTTTACTAGTAAAGTTAAAAGCAAAAGGATTACCACCGTCCTTAGTGAATTGGTTTGAAAGCTATCTCTCAAACAGAGAAATTGTGACCACGTCAACAAGAATCGTTGATAAAGGAGTGCCCCAAGGCTCGATCTTGGGACCGTTACTGTTTTTGATTTTTATTGATGATCTTGATGATAATGTTAGTGCAACAATGCGATTGTTTGCTGACGATGCCTCACTCTACCGCGTTACAGAGAAAAACGATATTAGAAAAGTTATAGACCAAGTAAATAAAGATTTACTCTTAATTTACGAATGGTCTATAACTTGGAAATTGTATTTAAATATTGATAAATGTAAAGCTATGATTTTTTCTACTCGTGAGCGCGATACTCTCGCTTCGCTGCCACCCGTCTTAATCAATAAGTCGTCTATCTCTTACGTTGTTGAACAAAAACAGTTAGGCTTAATTTTAAGGTCAAATCTAGACTGGACAGCGCACGTAGATTATGTTTTAACTAAAGGAAGTGGTTTAACTGATCTTCTAAAGCTTCATACACGTGCGTTATCTAGACAGGCATTAGATCTAGTGTACAAGTCATTTATATTAAACTTGTTCACTTACGCGTCAGCGATATATGGAAATACATCTGATAGAAATCTTGATCGACTTGAGTCAGCACAATACAAAGCTGCAAGAGCGGTGTCAGGCGCTATGATGCACAGTTCTAAGGCATGAGTGTTTAGAGATTTAGGATGGGAGCCGTTGCGAGTTGTTTTTAAGCGACACAGGTTAGTTTTATTTCAAAAAATAGTTACGAGAAGAACACCTTTCTTAAAAACTCTGCTGCCATCACGTTCAGATCCTCCTACTGTTTTTTCATACTCACTACGAAGTCGCGAGAAAATGCTACTTCCAACTCCGCGTTGTCGTTTGAATATGTTGTACGACTCAATGATATATCGAACAGCGAGAGAATACAATGAATTACCAGTGGAAACACGGCTGATATTTCAGATACCAAAGTTTAAGAAAAGTTTATTATCGCTGAGAGAAATTTCAAAGTTACCGTATACTAGCAATAGACACGCCGACATTGATTATTGTCGGTGTCGAGTTGGATTTTCACAGTTGAGGGGGGACCTGCATCTTCGTGCTCTTGTTTCTGACCCTTTTTGCTCGTGCGACAATGTAACAGACGAAAGCCTTTTTCATTATTTTTTTGAATGTCCCTTATATGACACCGCGCGATTAGCTCTAATCTCGATATTTCAGCTGAATCTGCCTCATTTGAATTTTGACTTGAAAACTCTACTTTTGCAAAATTCTTTATCACCTGAAGAAATTGAGATCGTATTCAAAGGTATCATTAACTTTGTTGCTCAAACAGAGCGGTTTGTTATGCATGACTGATAAACATATTTTTTCTTGATTTCCCTGCACTCCAGTCCGGAACGCACACTATTCCCCCTTTCCTACTTCTTCTAATCTCATATGATTGCATACTGACATGCACTTACCCATTAGTCCATTTTTTTTTAAATTTTGTTGTACTCAAATAGCATGTTTAAAAAAACAAAAAAAATGGAATTCTGCTAGGATTTTGGTTGAGCGTTTTATGCACTATGCAACATAGACTTGTCTGCAAGCATAGCTGCGTTTGTTTGTTGAAGTTAAATACAACTATTTTTTAATAAACAAGACCACTCTCCGTACCACATATATTCACATCTAAGCCAAGCATACGAAAACACACCGCTTTTGCTGCCAACGCCTTTTGTGCTCCTTCTGCATTCGGTGCATATGCAACTTGAATATGATTTGCTTTATGTTTTGCCATCATCTGATCACGACTAATCCCGTACAAAAGAGCATGCATGATAGGCCATTGAGGCGTTGTCATCTGCCATCGACGCTCCGTTTCTTCTCGAGGTAATTTAACAACTTTTGCGCGACCAATATCAGCTTTTAAACGACCATCTTCGATAAATACACGAGACCAAACAATTTCACCCGGCTTACTAACACCTTTGAGACTTCCACCACCTTTATGAAAATACATTGGCGGCTGTCGTTCACTTGTCGATCCTTTATATTGACCTTCTAGATGTTCGGGTGGTACAGCACCACTAATTTCAAATACCCAAATGAAATCACCATTATAATCTTCGCCATATCGAAGATCATGTAAGGTTGTTTCAGGTGAGAAACCAAGACCTTTCCAAATCCGATTTGTTATCAAAGCGTCGAGACCAGCACATTCATCCACTTCATTGAAATGGACGACAGCTTCATTTTCAAACAGAACGTGTGTTCTCTTGCGATTCTGCACCGGTGGACGATCAACATTGTTCAACAATCCTTCAGCAAGATCCGAGGCAGGAAGTAAATCTTTCAACCCTAGTTGATACTGAATTCCAATCAGATCGCATCCAAAATCATTCGCGAGACGTACGGCACTTATATACATTTTACACTGTAATAAAATCTGCTCTTCTGTTAGATCGTTTTCATTATCTCCAAGAACAAATTGCATGCCTTTTCGTTTTAACCATGTATAAGTCTGTCGTGCTTCTTCATCCGGGGTTTCCATAACTTCGTGATATAATGCTGACTGACTGAGTCGTTCTTTGAATATTCCAATACGATGCAATAATTCATCAGGAACAATGGCATTATACATTCCCATACATCCCTAAAGATGAGAGTGCGTTTTCATTTCAAATTTTTTCTTTTCTTCATACATACCTCATCGAAAACACCCATGATTGCTTTTTTTTTCAGTAAGTTCTGTGCAACGGATGAACCCAAGTCGTTTGCATCTTGAGGCAACTTAAATAAATCTAGCGATTTTGCATGTGATATATCATGAGTTATTTTCGATGTTTTAAGCCATTCTTTTAATTTTTCAAGGAAAATATCATCGTCTTTGAAATTAACGCTCCACAAAGTGTTGTATGGAACTCCAGCTTTTGTCAACGAACCATTTAAATTCAACATTCCAACGAGACCAGGCCATTCACCGCTCCAATTTGCAACGGTTAAAATTGGTCCTCTATGCGTTGTAAGACCAGCAAGAACATGATGTGTATATTGCCACACAGCTTCAGCTACCACTAATGGTGCGTCTTCAGGAATGTTTTGAAATACTGTCATACCATAACGTTGACTATCAATGAAACCATGCTGCTTTTTCTCGTCATACGAATGAGCACGTTCAATTTTATGACCGAGTGACTCGAAAACTTCTTTTAAAGTATTTTCCAATTTTTCTTGAGCTGGCCAACATTTTTTATTAGCGGAGAGACGTGAATCGCCGCTAGCAATTAAATAAATGGGTGACTTAATTTCAGACATGATTAACAAAAAATCTGATGAGAATTTTTACTGAATTTATATTATATCACAATGCACGGCTAAATTAATGATGTAAACACAGCAACCCTTTTCTTTCGGATTAGACTATATAGCTATAATCTACCGTCATGTGATCTTGAAAACAAGAGCAAAAACAAAAAACGAAAATGTTTACGTATATTTTATCGTACAGGTAAGTAAACCCCCACGCCTTGCTTGTAGAACTTTTCATACCGTATGTCACTCTTATGTCAAGGGTAGGTTGTTTGTAGTTCTTTTTGTGCTGACCGCTTGTTTTATTCGATTGATATGAGCACAAAGGAAAAGAAATTCAATATTTTATATTTTTTTCCATCTTCATATTGTAGCACCTATAGCTATTGTCCTGCATTTGACTTTAGATATTTGTCGTTGGTTTTTATTGATATTGCATATAAGGCGCAATTTATTTTACAAACTAGTTGTACTATTTTCCATCTTGGTTTCACAGTTCGGACAATTGTTACATATCAATGGAAAACTTTATCTTCTGATTGGACAAAATAAACCAATGAAAGAATGAACATCTGTTAATATCTTCTAAAGATAACTTTGAATTAGTCTTCGAGTTTTTTGTCCGGTTGCTTCATATTTTCATGATTTTTTCTGCGTATATTATAGAAAGTGGATACTTTTTTGTAAGTATCTATCAAATTCACCTCCAATAGTTGTTATGGATAAATGTACAAATGAGTGAGAAAACAATTTCAGTTTAAAACTGAACAAAAGATAATTAGTTAATTTATCATAAAAGTATAAAATCATTTTTTGATTGAGAAGATCAAGCTCTTAACTCATTGTCCATGATATTTTCCAATCTTAAGACAAGCTGAAAGTCTTGAACAGAAAAGATGGAGAAGCCTGTTCCGTTCGTCTTTGTGCGTGAAATAATCGATATATAAATCTCTATTTAAGCAAATGAACATCAAGAGAACGACATGAGAATTTGCTGAAAATTTCGACTCCCGTTTCATTACGTCGTTAACTATGGAATTTAGTGTTCAAAACGTCATGGAAAATGTTGATTCATCAAATGAATTGGATAGCAGCTGGACAAATCTCATACGGTAAGTTGAGTGTTCATCATTAAGTTCTTTCTTTTATTTTTGACGATTTTTCTAAATGTTCAAACATGTTAAAAAGAATATAATAACTCATAACAAAAGGATCGGTTCCATAAGAGTAATCGTAATGAAACGAGTATATCAGTATCAAATGTCATCGTTTATATCTTTACCAAGTACAACAGTAGTCAGTCCTATTTACTTACCAACTAGACAACTCTTTTACACATTTATTTTGTTAGAACTACGTGAGCATAGTATTTTATCGTTATCTATTCTCATTTGAGATAAGGATTCTATTTCTATTATTTATTCATATTTCATCTTATCTTTCTTATTAAGTTGTTTACAGTCATTTTTTACGGTGTAATATCAAAATAAAGTGTATTCTTCACTTCAAAAGACTATTTCTAATGAATTAGTAGACTTCTTATTTTTTAAATTTGTCTCGTTAAAAAAAAAAAAAAACTTCGCTTGCAGTTTTTGATATTATTGATAGAGGAGAAGAATAATGTGTTAAACATGGTAAAAGAAAAAAGACGAACGAAATAAAACTGAAAGAAGGAAAAAAGAAAGATTTATTGTAAGAAACATTTTGTAATGGTAATAATGCAGCAACAATTTCTTCTTTTCTTATACTTTCACTTTAGTTATACAGGTAGCAAAAAATTGATATTGTGAAAAAAAATCTCTAGTGAACTACAATTACTAGGTTTTTTCTAATTCTAAAAGATTATTATGAATTGTGTTTAAGTTCTTACAAAATGCTAACAATAATGAATGAACTCACATTTAGAGTAGTAACTAAATGATATATAAAAAAACTTATCTATAAATATGTTTGAAATGGAAGAAGATGAACAATCCTTTCAAGATTGGAGCAGGTGAGTGATGAATAAATTTAATATTTAGAAATAAAAGGAAGGATAAGTAATTAGGTTTATAATATATGTCACTTGTGCATGTGTACTTTCTTTTCCAATATAATTAAAGTCAAATTTATAATGTTGCAAACGCGTGTTCAACTACATATTATAGTTTTCTTTTCTTATACCGTTTTCTTCATCTAAGAAAGCGAGAAAGATTTTTTTTTTTTTCTTCTATTATGATATGTATATAGAGATATTAATTGCTTCAAGCCTTGGATCGGAGACGTATTCGATTTGTTTTTCACACATAAAAAAAGATTTCATACGAGAAAAGAAAAAAATAATTTATTTGCATACATTTTGTATATTTAAAATTGATTTTAGAATCAAAAATTACACATACATTCGTTTTTTTGCAGTGCATACTTTGGAAACGATTACTTCTCTATTTAATAAGCTTATGTTAGATAGAGTTTAGAAGAGAATGTAATACAAATAAATATTTTCAATCAGAAAAATTCCTATAATCATAATGTACTTGGAATGTGTATGCTAGCTAGAATTTCCTCTAAATTAAGAGAAGATTGATTAATTTTTTTTCTCTACATGTCAGAAATAACTCGATGTATTACACGCTTGACATATCGTTTGAGTAGATAGATATTCTACGATTACCTCGAATTGCATTACTTCATGCATAGATTTTTTTGACCTATGTTTTTTGTTTTTTTTCAAATAAATCCTCATCATCATCCAATAGTTGATGTTCAGATATCAAAAAGTTTGATTTCTTAAATATTTAAAAAGCTATCTTCTTCTTCTTCTTCTCTTTCTCCCTTTCTCTGAAGATAATTAAAAGTGAATAATAATAACAACAGTTGAGACATTTTTCTTCTCTTTTTTTTCTGGTATAAAATGAAATGGGCCTCTCATCTGTGGAACAAACATATTTTAGTAACGTATGGGTGCCAAAAAAAAAAAAAAAATTTTTTTTTGTGACAGTTGAGAAATTACGATGTTGTCGGTTAGAGAATAGCGTATTTACGAGTTTTTAATGATAAGCTGTAGATAAAATAGAGATATAATGAGATGATATCTATTTTCTTGAATAAGATATATTTGTAATACAACTTGTTAGGTATTGAAAAAATAATATTCGTTGAATCGTGGTTGATGGATGATAGTAGTTAAATACGATCGTATTCATCAATTTTTATCATTTAAGTATTGATTATTCATATTAATGATTAGTAGAATCCAATTTTTCATGAAATAGTGCAAGAATTCTAATAGTTTATCTTTATTAGTTTTGCACTTCACTCTTTTTTTTTTCTTCTACTTCATTAACTATATTTGAAAAGAACTCTATATTACCTTACCAAACGTCTAACAATTGTTGTCTGAGACGATGGCGTTGAGTAATTGCATATAACATAATATTTAAAATCTTGTCTTACTTTACCTAAAAAATATTTGTTTTTACTGTTGATAATAAACGAATGACTATTTTTCATTTCGCACATATGTGTTGATAAAGTAATATAATTTTCCTGTCTTCGTCTTTATGCTTCCGATGAGAGATGTATATGTATTATGTTTTTTTTTCTCTTTTTATTAGAAACATCCGAATACAAAACAAACTTGTTCCCTTGAGTCAATAGAAAAGAAGAGAAAAATAAAAAAAGAAGAATTATATATTAGATGAACCCCATCTTTTTCTATTCGAGATCAATTATTATAATCTATGAGTTTTGTTAAAGATCTCATAGATACTCACATCCAAAATCTTTAATTTTCAATTGATGTTTTCAACTGTAATTGAATAAGTTTTATCGATATTTTTCTTCTTCTTTATGATAATAAAATATTGTTTATATTAGAGAATTACTTTTTCTGTGTGTGTGTGTGTGTGTGTGTATGTATGTGTGTGTATGTGTGTGTACAAAAGATAAATGGTAACTGTTGTTATTTTTGAAAAAATAACGTATTTTTTACTCTTGTGTCACCAAATAGTATGCAAAATATATTAACAGTCAAATAGTTGCACGTACGGCCGATAAAGAAAAATTGTAGTAAGGTTAGAAATTTTTTGAAAAACAAAATAGTACATTTAGCCGTGTGTGTTACAAAAATGTTTTTGTCATGCTTAATAGTGTAAAATAAGTTACATCTATAAAGGGTGGACCACAATTAGTGGAACGAATTGATTACTAATCACTTCTGAAACATTTCAGTAATTCTGGCTCACCTTTTATGAACTAGTACTAAAAATGAGTATTTTTTTCTCATTTTTAAAAAACCTTTGAAACCTAACAAATATGGAGATATTTCTTTTAACATATGTCATTTATTCCACGTGCAGTGATAGATGACAAGTGTCTCCTTTTGATGTGTTTGCCATCTGTCTGTGTTATATCTTCTTTATTGTGTTCAAGTTAGATGTGGGCAATGTCCGCATAGACACTTTTCTTGCATTTTTATAAAACGTATTCCATTTTATTGATGCAATAATTACAGTGGCTCGAAAAATTATTCATCCACCTATATAGTAGAACATCATCGATAGTCTATATGTAAGTACTTTTAGGTATTTGATTCTCTTTTGTTCCTATTTCATTAGAGAAATAGTAAAATATACGCGTTTTTCTACAATGCAAAATTATTCGTCAAGAAATAGAAAAAAATTTTTTTTAATAACAAAAAGAGTTTAAATAAAATTGAATATTTCGTTGAATAAGCTTTCCTCTTGATACATTCATGAAATTAGTTTGGAAAAGAATCGACAAATTTGTCTAACACTGACAACTCGACTTTGTTCCATTCCTCTACACTCTAAAAAAAGTCGTAGATTAATAAACTACAATAAAAGAGCTTTTTGGACTAAAAAACTGATAAAAAAATCCAGAAGAGTTTTTTAACGGGTTTTTTAGGCCAAAAAACTAAAAAGCGTTCGTGGTCGTTTCAAAATGAAAAACTCGCGATTTTTGGGAGAGTTTTTTGGGTCTAAAAAACTAACAGAGTTTTTTAA